AAAAAAAATAGTATTTTTAATCGTTAACCGGTTACGTGAATGGTGGTTTGTTTCTCTTGTGTACTCGTAAATCCATAAATCGACGAATAAATTAAACAAACCGCGGCGTCGGATTTATACCGGGTCGGAACTCGAAAAACTATGAAAATCCGTAGCGCGCACACGTAAGGCGTGTATGCATAAATGAATAAACGAGCCGAACAGTAGGTGTTGACGGGCGCGATCGCGATGCGTACGGTGCGCGGGGAGCACGTGTACGTTACTCGTGTACGTTACGTGGTTTAATGTGTACGCAATGATACGTGTTTATTTACACGTGGATCGAAGAGAAATATATTAATTTTTTTATTCGCCACTCAATCGCGAAGTCGTTATGGAATAAAAACCGACCGACCGACGGCGACGATGGCGGTGTGGGCAAAACAACAAAAACAACAAAAATGGGCCGGCGTGCACACGGCGCGCACGTAACGCGGTAAACGTGCGCCGTTAATCGGAACTCGCGAACACAATATGTGTTTATATAATGTACAGAAACAATGTTGTCGGTATCGCCCGTTGGCATGTTTTAATTTCAAGAATAAAACGATTTGTTCGTCGTCCGCAGACACGTGCATCGTGTGTGTCCGTAAAACAATGAAATCGTTACGTTTCGCCTTGGACGCTCTTCGTCCCCCCCCCCCCGAACGCCGACGTCCGGCCGTACGGATTCATAACAAACATATCGCAACCGTGTTTAAAGTTTAAAAATTTGATTTCGGTTGAAATGTGTATCCGAAAAGAAATACCCGACTCTGAAATCATTGATAGTGAAAACGTGTTTGGCTCCCTCCACGTACGTCTGGGAGTCTGCTTTTTAAAAAAAAGAAAAAGAATTACATTAAAAATAAATTCCTATCCCGACTCACCAGCGGCGAACACTTTGAAATGATGACGAGGGTACCGACCACGAAACGCCAACTTAAAGCAGCTAGTTGAGAGCGAGATCTGCCATTTTTCCCATTAAATCCCATTAATTCATAATTGTTTCACGTGTTCAAATTAAATTCAACTATATTTTCATTAGTCTTAGTTACGTAATACGTGTATACTTTTTTTATAAATAAAATAGTTTCGGCCAATCGGCATATTATAATAAATATTATGTACTTTGAATTGTTATGGCCCGCGAGAACTTTCCGAATTCCGAATGCGGCCCGCGGAAAGTACCTATTCAATTGCTGACCCCTGGTTTAAACACGGTATTACATATACGATCGCGCATCGCACATGGTCGAACTTTAAAATTGTTAACACACGCACGCGACTACGTGTGATACGATTACGGCGTACACCGTTATCAATGGACCTAAACGAGTGAGTGTCTGCAGGACTCCCGCCACTGGCGGCGGTTAACGCTTTATGAATGATGATCAAATACACACGCGAATAACACAATAATTAGACGTTACGTATGTATTGCTAATCACAGCGAGTTTCGTTGTTTCTCTCAACTCAAAAATAACCGTTCCGTTTTCGATCGATAGATCTCTAATAATAAGATGATTTCGAAACACAAGAGAGATGAAAATTTCTACTATTAACTTACCGTCGAATGTACAAACGGGGCCATATGTTAACTTTTTGTAATAAGTTTGAAATTAAAAACGTTGTATTTCTCCGAGGTAAGCCCTTGATGCTTCATACACGAGAAAACGATTTTATTCTTCGTTATTAATATTTAATTATCAACAGGTACGTATTGCGTTCAGTAATGTTAAGTTCGATGACACGTCACATCCATTAAATATTAATTTTTTTTTACGATCCGAAGATGGTTCCAATTATTATTAATATCTCTCTATTTTTCTCTATCGTTCATAGTACTCTTGAATTCCCTGTATGTTTTCATCACAGCATATCCATCACTTGTTTCAAAAATGGAATTATAGACCTTCCTCTTTTAGCATTTCCATCAATTTGTTCTCCGTTATTGTGGTAATATTATGTATACATACTCGTATATATATATATCAACAATATACATTATAAAATAATGATTATCGTATTTTAATTATCCTTAATAATATGTAGTATAATTATTATTGAATATTAAAACGTGAATATACGAATTATAAAGCAAAAATGAATCATATACATCTATATTTACTAGCAGAATAAATGGATATTCTATTGATTATCAAAATAAAATAAATCATATAATTTTTACGAAATTTTACTCCGTTTCAGTGACTGCTAATTATTTTATTGATACATATTAGGAACTTGGGCCCCAATATTGTGCCAAAAAATATGTGTTTTTACGACTTCAAAAGTATTAAGTACACTAATATAAAATATAAAATATCATATATGGTACTATACTCAATTTTATATGAAAAGGTATAATAAATGCAAATACTATGTACACAATACTATTGTAAGTTGTTACAATATACAATGGATTAAATTGTGGTAACTAAGATACCTTTTTTCGTCAATTTTGAATATAAATATAAGTAATATTAAACTAAATTTTGTTTTCAATCAAGTGTAATTATTGAAATTATATCATTATTAATTTCCTTTGAAGAATGATACTGGTAAAACAAAATTATTGTACGTAATATTATGGTTGTGTCGTATACAATGAACATTATGCGATAATTATGAATGTCATACATTTCTTTGGATGTAGTGGTTAATAATAAAACAAATAAATACAATTATTGTAGTAATGGATTCATCGAAAGTATGAATTACGTTATTTGAATACATTTCAAATGTTTATGCTGTTTATATTACATGTAGAATATTCTCAAATGTCTATCGGAATAATGAGAAATTTAGAAAATTTGTTGACAGTAAACATGTTTTAAATATTTTCATTACGTACGAAATCCTATTTGTAAATTATCTGATAAAGAATTCCAATGATGTATTTTTATGCATTTCTTTTAATAAAATACAAGCGTACAACACGTTCGTACATATACATGTATATGACATAGCAATTTATCAAAACATTATTTATTTTTAAACTATAAAAATGAATTATTTAAAAATTATACGATCAGTAAAAGTGGCATAAAAACCATTTTATTTTCATTGTTAAATACATACGTTAATCCGTTATTAAGTATACTCCCTAATGAAAAGTTGTTGATTATAACTGTTTAGCATTACATTATAGTTAACAAAAAATAAATTACGTGTCTGGTACGTCGAATATGTCGAATTGTAGAAAACTTCCTCCTTAAAGTGCAACTCTGTGCCAAAAAAAATATTTCTAATAATGTAAAACAATTTATTGAATCGTATATTTGAAATTCATACTTATTGTGAATTTAATAATGATCCGATGGCATTGCGCATACCACATAGACAATAATATTAAGTTATAAATTATGGTATATAAAATATAACTTAACTTAACGACTTATATTGTGTAATAAAATAATGACTGTGGATTTAATTTCACAATTTAAAAAAAAGTTTAACCTTTAATCTAATAAGTAATTAATGTTTTTATGTTAAATTACTAGTGATAATAAATGATAAAATCTTAATTTCAACAAGAACACATAGAGTACATATTTTTATACCCGTCTGTTATGGTAAAATTAACGTTAATCAGCTACTAGCTAGCTACCTACACTTCTTAAAATTAAACATTGGTTCATTTACATCTCGAGGTTGTGGAGATATTATTAAACAAAAACCGTATCGACTGAACAGTCAAAATAGATTTTTCAAGGCATACACAACCACAAGAATGAACTAATAAACACGTTGTGCACTGTTGTACTTTATGCGTACACAGGAGAATTCGTAAATAACAGTAAATGTTTACAACTGCAAATAAAAACAAAAATAATACAAACAGTAAGGATCTAGATAGTTTGCAAATAAACTTGGTGTTTAACATTGAAACGGTTATGAGATTTATTTTCACTCTTAAAACAAATTTTGTTTATTTAACATTTAACTATTCTGGAAAATACAGGTAATAATTTAACATTAGGTATTTAATTTTGGAATGCTTGTAGGTTTATAATAAATTATCAATAAAAAACAACCCTATTGACACGGACGTACCAAATGAATACCTCGATCTCACACGTTACACATCCCTTTGCCTTGAAATCGACACTCGTTCGATTAACAGAACCAGTTTTGGAGACGGCGGCGATGTGTCACCTAGCGCCCGCGGACAGAATGACGACCCCGTCGCAAATGCCCAACGACATTCGTCTGTTTTAAATCAAGTTCGCCTTCGAGGCCTTTGCGTTTGTTTTTTATTTTCGCTTTCGCTATATAATATTTTAGATTTTTATAAATTTTGAATCCGCGTGTCATATATTATTATTATTATTATTATCATAATAATTTTTATTATTATAATAAAAACATTTTTAACCGTTATGATTAACTTAATTTAATTTTAATATTTTATAAATACTGTGTTGTGCTACATGACACTATTAAAAATGCTACTTTATTTTTTATCGGTATTATTGAAATATATTTTAAGCATAAATTATAATTATAATTATAGTGTTTTCCACTAATTTAATTGTACACGACTATACGAATAGGACACTATAGAACAAGCGAAATGTACCAAGTGCATGTAGTTGTTTGGATATTGATTGACGTCGTAGACGTTATCAACAGACCTGCCGTTTGATTAAATTGTGCCTACAGAATATATTTTATCTGTTACCTTATTAAACACTTTAAACTTTATTTCAGTTCATCTTAAATCTATAAAAAATACCATTAGGAGGCAATATCATTATTATGTATCGATGCTTTTAATAATAGCATACAATTCTATATTCTAGTACAGAAATAACTATAATAGCTTTAAGATTTAAACTATGTTATGCATATTAATTGCAATTAATAATCTGTAATTAAACTTGTTTTTTACATCTCGTATGGTATACTACATTTTTTTTTCTAATGTTTATTGTATATTTCTCTGTTTAACTAATGAGTCATAACGATAAGAATATGAATTTTAGAAAAAAAATGTTTATGTAAAACATTACATATAGAATCCCAATGATGTGTACGAAATATAGAATAATTCTAAACAATTATTGCTTTACATCGTGCACTATTTACAACATATCACACATATACAGGCATATACTGTACACACGAAATATATAATAATACATTTTTCTTTTGAAAAAATACGACTATTACTGTGCGTACGGCATACAAAAAAATCTTTTAACTTTGCTGGGTGTAATAATAACGCGATTGTGATGACGGTGATGATCGATGATTTCAGGGGTTATTTCGTATAAAATTAATTGTTAGCATTATGCAATAACCACGCAACAATATACATGCATGAAATCCGAAGTCGAACGAAAAAGGAAAAACCATCCGAATCAAACTCAAGTGTTTATATTCTTTGCTGGCATTAAATCTCGAACTCGGCGTAGCATTTTATTTTTACGATTAGATAAGTAAAAAATAATACTATTATTGTATTTACGCCGTGAGCCAGGTCGAGAAAAACGATAATTTTGAAGGGATCTAATATGAGTTGTGGCCAAAACTGTGAAAACAATTCATCACGATATTTTCTGTAATGAAAATAAAAACGTTTCAGTCGGATTTCGTGAGAAGAACTTTTAAATTGAAAAAAAAATAAATCATCAACTTTCCGTCTGGTGCTCGAATAATTTTTATGCTTACTAGGCACGTTTAATTATTACGTTCAATCATATGCCTTTCCGTACAAAAAGGGTTCTTCTGAGCGACGAAATTCCAGAAACGTCCGAAAAATCGTCGAGGTACACGGAGGTGAATCTATGCACGTAGGTAGTTCAAACATCAAAATTGATTCTACTGTACACATTTTACACACAATACATTTATGTACATGCGTAGTACGAACATTGGAGTGTAGGCAAGCACATGTACGATCCGCTGGCAGCACGTTACATGACTAACCGAAGTCACTCGTGTGTTCCTTACGATTCGCGTGTAATTCACTGGTGTTATGTACGCAGTGTATACATAATGCAGCACGTTGTCGTCGCGTAACGTTCGCACCCACACGTACCCCTGTTCGCGAGGGTGCGCACGGACGAGGTCACGGGTACGCTCCGCGAAGTCGTCTTAATCTTTTCAGTTTTTACCTTTAAATGTAAATTTTATAATCCTTTACACGTTGTTTCGGTCGAATATTAGAACTTTAACGCGTTTTATACATTTCTTTACAAATACGAACAAGTGGTGTGTGATGCAATCGATAAAGTCGATATTATATATCTATACGTTTGTGTTTACCGTTGGCATTTCTTTTACGCGTGATTTCCATTACAATATTTTAACATTTACGTGCAACGTTTTGAAATAGTTATTGAGTAGTAGTTATACGTTCGTCTAGATGTTTTGAAAGCTACCGACGTACGAAGTCGTAAACCAATTTATCGTTATTGAATATTGAAAAAGATTTATTAAATCTGCTAGACACCAAAACTATTTTGAATAAATATTGCACGAAAACCAGAAAAATTATGCTAATTTAAAATGTACCATTGACATATAATTTATTTGACAACAAGATTAAAGATATTATAATGTACCAAGATGTTACTGATATTGTAGTAAAAAACAGTATTATACATTTTTTTTTTTTTTTTATTTATGTGAAGACGTGTGAAGTGTGTTTTAAAGTTTTTATGTATGTATTATGGCGAAGCCCCCACGGCTCCATGATGCATTCACAGATTTAGCACCCTACATTTTAGCGGTCTAGTTGCGCCTATGGTCGTGCGTCCCTGTTCGAGAGGATAATGCGATGATCGAGAACTCGGATATTTCAGCGGTCCCGATTTGTGTATGGAGGATTAGCACGGTGCGGTGCGCTTGAATCGACAACACCTCTCGTAGTTGCGTGCTGCTGCAAGGGGTGGAACCTAACCATGGTCGAATGCATTCACGTCGAGAAATCATTTTCCCGATTCAGTTTTCGCGGAGGCCTCGCGGAACAGTTCGTCGGCTCCGAGATTACAAACGCGTCTCCGTCGATCCGAGTCCGCGACGCTTTGCGATTTATGCGCGTACGTCCGTACCTCACGCGACACGCGATAACCGTGCACACGGCGGCAACGCATCCGTCACGTTTAGCGCAATGTGACGGACAGGTTGTGTCACCCACCCGCTCGCACACGTCACGATAATTATTGTTTATTTTGATCGTGTATAGTGTCGGTTACGTGTGGTGGGCCCCACTGCTTTTTGGCCGACGGAGAACATTCGTAACAATCGTAACAACAATCGTAACAACAATCGTAACAATAATCGTAATGGTTAAAATAAGTGTACGGTTATCATCGCGGCGTGTACGCGTGTGTACGTCGGCGAGTCGGCGGCACGTGTACGGCGAACGTGAAACGGCGCCGGCGGCGGTGCGCGCGGGGGGCAACACCGACCGCCGCCCGAGCGGAAGCAGTTTCGCGCGAGCTACCGGTCTCGAGCACGTTCAGCGGCCAACCAGTAAAACACGCAGTTCATACCGTCATCGTATGCCGTCCGAACACGACCGTGCGCGCGCGTGTCTCCCGTCCTTGCAGTCGAGTGTGTGCCGTGACAATATTCAGAACCGTTTCTCGTGCGCCCCTAATCTACCGTCGATCGTCTCGTCGGAAGTAATTACTAACGGTAACTTAGTAAATTACTAACGGAAGCTATTACGTTAACGTTCGTCAGACATCGTTTCCGCCACCGACCATGATCTGTTCGCTGTTCGATTGAACGTCGTGTGCGATATGCGTCGATCGTCGCTGAACTACGTTGCGTTTGTGTGTTGGTCGCGGTGATGGGAACCGATCCGACGTCCTCCGCGTTTCTTGGTTACCGCCAACATCACGTTTGAACCGTGCGCGATTTCCGAACGTTTTTCCCCGTTCTCGTCTACCCCCTGCTCGTCGCACGTAAACAAAAAGAAAAATCGTAATCCGCGCACGCACGCTTGACGTCTCGTCAGCTCACTCGCTCGCCCCGTGCCCGTGATTGTTGGATTTTCTTTCGCGATACAAGTGATATACCGTTTCGACGGTATACTCGCTGTCGGTCAACCGTGGATTGCAAAAACAACTGGGTGAGTTGAATGCGGGCATTTTTTTTTTTTTTTTTTTTTGTGGCCGTGGTTTAATTATACTGCGGACGTTGTCACACGCGCACGTGTTTGAAAACATTACTTGACGGCCGGTGTTTCTCGCAGGTGTCGTCGATGGTGTCGGACATGATCACGCACCACGAAAGCGTAATGAAGGACAGACTGTCCGGTAAATCTCATCCAGTGTCGCAAGAGCACAGGGGCATGGGCCAGTACGAAAACGCGGTTGTCGAAGATCAGGCCGACAGAACCAAACACCAAAACCAGGTGAAGAACATCACCAAAGAGGTACGTGAGTCGCCGCCTGCGCCTCCGTGGCCACCGTGCGTCGCGATCGGATAGAATGTGTACGATCAATGATCTATACTTGTATAACGCGTTGTTCAGCAAAAGTCCCGCCCGGTTTATACCATTCTCAAACATTAATACATTGACACGCGTAGAAAGCTTCTCGATCCTTGTAATTCGTTACGTTCGCAACAATACAAAAACAAGGACTTTGATCACCGTTTGTGTTCGAAATATTATAAAACGTGTTTTCATAAACATAACGATCAACAGACAAAGTAGATGGTTCTACGGATTACGTCTTTGTTCGTTAAAAAATACTACTCATTATAACAGGGAACGTTCACGATATTTATTATTATCAACAACAAATACCTTCGCGGACCCTATATAACACTCGACTATGTTATCGGTTATTAACGTTTTTCGTCTACAGCTCTTTTTCATTTATTTTTTTTTTTTGGACAAAATCACTTAAAAAGTACACAGTTCGACCATTACTCTTATCATCAAATACTTACAACTAAAATTTTATGATAATAATAATTGCAGTTTAAATTTAATCGAACGCTTAAAAAAGTTCCATCGGACGTAGGTATATTTTTAATGCACAAACATAATAGTAAAAATAATTTAATAAAATAATTGGCCACGGTTTAAATTTTATAATATTTTGATAGTCAGTGGTTGAATAATAAATAGAAAAGCAATAACAAATATTAAAATCACGTACTCGTGCATGTAATGCTGAAAACATATATATACCAAGGTGTATACTCGTACAGCTTAAGTTCAAACTAAAAAAAAACAAAAATCATAAACAATAACAATCATTAAGTCATTGGGTGGAAGATTATGCGTTATATCGTCAATAAGACTTAGAAATATCTACGAAATATCTATATAAACAAATACACTACAATTGTCAATGGACGCAGTTTCTTTAAATTTAATATGATCGGGATGAATGGGATATTTATAATAATATAAAAATTATATTACTTTCAATCCGAGTATCTCATATCGATAAGTGTTTTTTGTAACATTATATTATTATATTTCACACCACTTCAGTATCGATATATAATAAATCAATAAATAATCAACAGCTATGTGTATATTAAAACTATTATTTGTTGCTAATTTTTATATGAATATAAATTATGTTGTACCTCTATTAAATAGAGATAATTAAATTTTAATTCCGATAGTCAATGTAAATTATTTTATTGCTAAAATACTTGAACAATTTTACAGCTGATTGTTAACAATAATATTTATTAAAACCCTGCTATAAATAATGAACCACAAATAAATGTTAAGATAATACATTTTATAATATTTTATCTAATTATATGAAATTGCAAAACTTAGATTTTTATGGTACTTACACTTAAAAATGAATATAATATAATAAGCTTGATTAAAATTAAATTTATTTCTTTATTAAGAGTACACGTTGAATATTTGTTTGTTTTCTTAGCCCGACACGACAAACAAATAAGAAAAAACATTTCACAATAATCATGTAAGACTGTTTGATATATAGTAACGTTCTTCGACATTTCTTTCGGCAAATCGATAGGAAAATAACTGATTGAGGATTAAATAAAAAAAATGTGTAATATTAATAGTATTATAGGTTCATACATTTTTTTTTTTATTAATAAGCATTTCTTCTTACTAGCTATATTAAATAATTAAATAGTAATATTTAAACATTTTACAGATTTAACGATTTACGATTGAGTACAAATTCTCACTAAACAACTTTCCTTGAATACTTTTCATTATTAAATGAATGGAATGAACATCTTTATTTCGATATTCAAACACGATATGATGGTTAGCTTACTGATATGTGTAGCTGTGGAAGTCTATGATGGCATGGGTATAATTAGAGACAACGACTCTTGGGTAAATCGAATATTAGTTGGAAATTGTAAAGTTTTATTATATTTTATAAGCATTCGAATATTTAAAGCATTAATGAACCATTTCATCTGAAAAATGATCTTGAATGACTATCGGAATAATAAATTATCTTATTGTGTATTGTTTCTTAAAAACAATTGATATTCATCTATTTCATGTAGAATATAGGAATTCTGATGCATACATAAAACATTATAAAAAATAACACAATATACTCGTATGACTATAAAAGTAGAAAATACATTTTTTTAAATATATTCATAAATCGATCGATAAATATTAAATTAAATATTTTTTATCACGTGGATCTCGCGGAAATACTGAAAAACAACAACTAACTTTATTAAAATTTATATTTCAGTAACTGTGAATTTACACTGTTTATAGTAAGTAATCTTGTATCATCAAGTAAATATTACACAAAAAAAATGTACAAAGAAATGTAGTTGGGTTAAAAACTTCTTTAGATTGTATTTGTTATTAAATTATTATATTATATTCAACGTTTGAATTAAATCGAAACAGAAAATATTTTTTTTAATTAAGTTAATAACTTTTATTAAATTTTTCATTCTCAACTTTTAATTTGTAATTGAAATCCAGTGCGTTTGATTGATTTATATTAATTTAGTTTATCGAAATATCAGGCGAATAAAAAAATTAACCCAAAAGTAATAACATATATTTTTTTTATATCGGAATATAATCGCTGTACAATGTCGTATACTCGAGACAATAAGGTTTTGCCTGTTGGAAAATACATAACAATGATCTTCGTATATATTTATAGTACCTATATTTCAAAAGTTAAAGGAACACAATAACGATTTCGAACGCTCAGACTAACTGTGCTTCAATCCGAACCGTCCAAAATAGCCTTTACGAATTGAACACGGATTCATTAATATACATATAGAACGTAATATTTCAATAAATACGTTATAAACGTCCAAATTTTTAATCGAAACGAGCTCCTGGTCCGTCGGTAGCTGTTGAACATTGATCGTACATATTGATTATCAACCTCCGTGACCCTTTGTGTGTGTGTGTGCTTTTTTTTTTTTTTTTAAACAACCTGTCCTGATCACGTTGTACCGAAATAACGTGATTATCGGCAATATAATGCGAAACAATTCCACTTTTACAAACAGCAGCGTGACAACGTGATCGCCCCCAATCAACTCGTTAGCTCATCACGTGGTGTTCTTACGACAACGATATTAATACGTTCCTCGAAACGCTGAAAACGTGATCGTAATCAATTCAAATGGTTTTCTTATTTAAATTACGGACGGCAATTTTTGTAGTAAAAATTTCGATTTTTCCGCGCACGTGTTTTGTAATAATGTAAAAATGATGCACATTTTTATCCGTTCTCTTTCTTTGACGTGTGTAAAACATGGAAAGCTCGCGATCTGCACACCTAATTGATTTTGTGCTTTTTTCAATCCGTACCGTTATTACAATAAATTGATAAAATTAAGAGATAAGTGTATTATCTCTTTTAACCCGATTCCTTTTCGCCGTTTTAATTTTAAATTAAAGTTCGTACAATACATAAAAAACAAGTTAAAAGCACTTATATTATATGTTCCTTTCTCTTTTCTGAAAATAAAATCGAAAATTCGGTCAGAGAAAATTCTGATTGCATAAGAACAATTAACGTTTGCATATTTAAATGTTTTACATTATTAAACAATATTAAATCGACCGCATATTCCACGTTAAGTATTTCAGATTACTGATTCGTAACTATGCGAAAACTAAATTTCCTATGATTAACGTACTGACATACGTCAGATACACCGAATCAGTGTATTTAACTTGATTCCGAGTAAAAACTATGCGCTAACAATACAATAATGACCAATTTTATGTTGTACAGGATCCGATGTCACATCGAGTAATAGAAAAACGACGACGCGATCGGATGAACAATTGCCTTGCCGATCTGTCACGGCTCATACCAGCTGAATATATGAAAAAAGGGAGAGGACGAGTAGAAAAAACTGAAATAATCGAAATGGCGATCAAACACATGAAATACCTTCAATCAAATGTTTCGCCGTCGGGTAAATTTTCTATTCAAACAGATCAACTATAAATGGGAAAGCGAATAAATAATTATGTCTTCCGGTTCTGTAATGTTGTGCAGTCGAGTCGACAAAAAGCTCCACGGAACCTCAAGAAATGGAAAAAGCGCCCGAGGAAACGGAAAAATCCGTTTTAGTGGCTGAACAGTACAAGATGGGATTCTTCGAATGTTTAACCGAGACCATGCAGTATCTCGTCGAGGGACATGGATATCCACCCGGTCACGGGCTGTGCTTGTCGCTAATCAATCATCTGCAAAACCATTGTGCTCAAATCATTAAAGGTACGTACCGTACTGTTACGAATGCATTGCGATGACCATCAGTACTTGTGACGTTATTAATTTTATAGTTTTGATTTACTCCAGGAAAACAAGTGATTCGCGAGGTGATCAAAGACGAGATCTTAGTGGAAGTAAACAGGTTCAACTCCAACAAGAAAATTAATCTGGACATGGACGACGACGGGAACTTCGAAGAGATCAGTCAGCAAAACAGTTCGTCGAGGAATTCAAAATCTCAGTCGTCCGCCAGCACGTCCAACGACCAGGTATGTCGCACATAGCACGCAAATATCGATCTACGCGCAAAAACACAGACATTAGTATGTTGGGTATATTTCGGATTCATTCCTTTTATCACAATTTGTCGATATTTTGTAATTCTACCGCGAGTTTTTGGCGAAAAAGATGCAGTGAACTCCGGATTAGATATTAGTCACTTTGCCCGCTACGACGTGAAAATAACTTCGCGGGTGCCACTGAACTTCCACGGAATATTATGTAATAATATAAAAATACTTCTCGTGTGTACAAGTGCGCGTTCGTAGTATTGCAAAAGCCACGTCTGACGTCACACAGTAGACTCACGGTATCCAAACGGGCTTGAGAAACATAAACGTGTCCGAAAGAAACAACTTAATATTTTAAACGAAAAATTTAATTTTACGCGCAAATGTAATAATAGTAATGATTTAATTTGTAGTCGTCGTCTTTTTCAATTACGCACGGGTAAAAATCGATGATTTTTTATTTTTTCTCTCGTGAGTTGCAGGCAGTGGTGTGGCGATATGGGTAATCGAGAGGCGGCCGCCTCACAGTTTTTGGGGGGTGGGTGGGCAAGGCCGTATCTAAAATTTTTTTTCGGGAGGGGTCCAAAACATGTATATTGTAGTTTTATTGAATTAAGATTTTAACTTTTGATAATTAATTAAATATAAAACAGAAAAAAATGTAATCTTCTTTTATTAAAATTAATATATTTTCATATGACATTATGATATAAAATTTAAAGTAGCCAATGATTAATTGGAGCTTAAGTCATTTTTGACTGAAAATATTTATGTTGATATTAAAATAAATAAATATTTTAAACATTCGTAAAATATTGAAGAAATTTCGAGGGGGTTCCAGACACCCTGGATCCCCCAGATACGGCCATGTGGGTAGGTGTCGACAAAATGTACTTGCCTCTGAAAATTGTTGAGTTCGCCACGCCACTGGTTGCAGGCATTCCGAACAACCCATTTCCCCGATAATCTCGACCCTATTGTAAAGGATGTATTATCACCGCATATGATAACGAATCTTGTGTGTGTGTTTGCGCAGAATCTGGTGGACCGGTGCAGCATGTCGTACATGACGGACTCGTATTCGTCGAACGGGTCCATGTACAAGTTCAAGACGGACATCAAGCAGCGGTTCAGCGCGGAGTCCAGCGGCATGGACCTGACCGATTATTACGGGCCGGACAAGAAACGCCGCCGGAAGGAGTCGTCGGACAGCAACGAGGACCGGCAGGAGGTGCCGATATTCGCCCTGCACGCGAACGGCTCATACTACATCCCATTGTCGGTGAATAGAGAGGTCATCTCGCCCATGATGGACAACGCGCTGACCGAGAACCGTTCGTCCGTCATCGTGCACCCCATATCGATTTCGGTCAACTATCAAGCCACCACCGCCGCCAACCCGTTGCACAGCAGAGTCATACCGATGGCAGACGACCATCTCGCGATCTGAAGGGATTTTCACCAACCTCCACCACCACCGTCATCTCTTCGCGGTGAAACCGAACACCGTCGTAACGCATTATATTATTGTTTGTTATTTTTTTCTATTTTCTATTATATATACATACGACTTAGATGATTTATATTTATAAAAATGCGTGTACGCGCGTGTCTGTGTGTATGTGTGTTTGTGTGTGTATTATGTATTATCAATAGTTTAAGCGTTTCCTACAAACATTTTCTATGTAAAAGTTAAGTTCGATTTTTTTTTTTTCATTATACGAGTGTATGTCGAAACCAATAAATTATGTACACTGTTTAAACCATTCCGTGTAATACTCGGAAAATCACCCTTCTTACTACGTTTCAAAACGCAATACGCGTTAATGGATTACAACTACCTGTTCCTTCGACGAATTCTGCCGTTTTTGAGAATTTCGTACTGTTGTGAGACACGATTTTTTTCACGATTGTCCAACAATGCTCGTAGAAACTATTATCGTTTATCACAATTTAGATATTATTTTTTTTACTTGAACATACCTCAACGAAGAACACTGATTTTTTTTTTGTTATGTTTGTCTCTCGACACAGTGAAAGTCTAAACACTTATGTGTAATACCTACTTTGTTTATTATAGAATACAATACGAATATCTTGAGGTAAATTTTATTTTCAGACTTGAAGTTTATTTCGATGTAAAATTATGAGTGTGTGTATTTAATATTTTGTGAAATATATGTGTATTTTTATAGATAAATTAATAGTAAGTTGAATGATGATCGATATCGTATCATTATTTTTTTCTAATTACACGAATTATCTCACATTGCTAATTCTATTGAATTTAATGTTAATTAATTCAAAATAATTTGGCTTAGTTGCAATACTTTTATAAATTGATAAAGTATTAATTAAAAAAAAAAACAAATTTGGATATTTTTAAAACCATTTCTACCAACCCAAAACAAATAATATTAATTTTACTCAGTGTTTGGATTTATACTTTAAACTAAAATTACCAAAGCAAATATATTTAAGATAATTATTCTTAATATACTTCAGAATGTCAACAAATTTAAGAAAGGGAAAGCGGGGTAGTTCCATATGCGTGGCAAAACGATATGATAATATTTTCGAAACATCGAGTCAAGATAAGAAAAAAGATTGATGTTTATTTCTCCATAACCATATGTTTGTTGTTATCAATAAATATTAACCTCATTTTTGATAAATTCCCGCTCAAAAATGTATAATCACTATTTTTTTTTCATATATTAATTGTTACAAATTATTTTGTCTAGTGTAAAAAAAAACTGTGTCACATTACAATAAAGTAAGTACAGATTTTTTAGTAATATAATTTGAAGGAATATTGTTTATACTTTTCAATTAATTGTTATTAATTTGAAGTCACCTACTGTGGGGCAAAACTGTTAGGGCGAAACCATATACCATACGGAATTTCCCCAGCATTTTATATGGAGCTATATTATGTTATAATTTACTTGATAACTTTATATTCACGATGGTTCATAACTATGTGCGCAAAACCAATCATTGATCGTGGAATGATAGTTCTATGTTATTAGCTTATGAACAGGGCCGTATTCAGTGCAGGGTAAGAGGGCATGGGTCAGGGGTGCAATTCTTAAAGGGGCGTAAATTTCAACACTACGTATGTAATATTTTTCACGAAATATGAAAAATATGTAATTAAAACAATTTCATTTAATAATTTCATAGATAAATTTGCCTCTATAAGAGCAAGAAAAGTACCATTGTAATATTGTGATAAATACATTTAAAATCATCTAACACAATTGTAAAACAAAAACATTTGGAGAAAATGACATGTTTTTACAATGTATTGATTGTTTTGATTATTTTTATTTATTTATTTTTTTTAATTATTTATTTATATTGTTTTTTTATTTTATTGTTTATATTTTATTTTTTTTTTTTGATATTTTAAAATAATACATATAATTATTAAAGTTTAAGAGTTGTTATATATATTTTTATATTTTTTATATATCTCAAACGAATTTTTTGTACAAAAATTCAATTTTCCCATTTGGGGAGGGGGGCGCAAATACAGTGATTCGCCAAAGGTACCGCCAGACCTCAATACGGACCTACTTATGAATATCCAAACATGTTTTATTAAAATATTATTTAAAAAGTTTGTTATGTTGTTTGTTATGCGTTGTAACAAATTACTCTACAAATAATGTTATTGATATATAGCAAAATCAAAGTGTTTATTGAGTTATTATTTTAATATGTTTTAATAAAAAAAAACGTAATACCGATTATATTTCTTCTATTTTAGATCATACGATAAAATAATCATATGGTTTTACCCCAAGACTAATACAGTTTTACCCTACCTATGGGGCAAAATCATATTTTTAAGTATTTTCAAATTTCTGATTTTTTTTTAAGTTTATGTTAAGATTTTTTAAAAATTCTTAAGTAATATCGAAGCTAACAATATTTATAATATAGTTATGCAATCCAATTTAAAATGTTTAAAAATTTTTAAGTTTTAAAATCCTTAGAAGTTAGTAATATGGTTCTGCCCCCTCTTCCCTTAAATTTATAATATCTGGATCCAATAAAATATAGAATAGCAATAAAAAAATATATAACTGTAAATAGAATCTTAACCGGATTGTTTTAAGTATAAACGTTACTTTGATCTAAAATTATAATTGGATACAAATAATTGTAATCTTAATACCCTTAAAAAAAGTTAAAATTATAAGAAAAAAAGAAAAAATGATGCAATGCTTTAAAAAGCAAAGAATATTAAAATCACGATAAAATAGTCATTCTGAAAAGTTTAATTTAATTTTATATTATTTTTATTTTTATTTTTTTTTATTTTTGTCATAATTTTACCAACCATTTTAGAATTTCGGATTACGCATAATGTAATAAAACAAAATGTAATTTACTATTTACATAAGAAATCGATCATTTAATATTAGGTTTATAACTTGATCGAAATTAATATTATTCATAATACAGCTCAAACATTTCTATCTTTACATTTTTTTATTCAAAATGATATTGCTAACGGTATATATTATATTTAAGAATGTTTAGTGTGAAAATAAAAATAATAAAAAAATAAATATATTATTTTATTCAAAATTGATAAACCTGCTCCTTACAGAATACCTTACACTACACTTTTAAATAATATGTGGTACACAAAAAAATTATTTATAAAGTTTTTTTAAGCTGCAATAGAAATATTCCAATTGAATAGGTGCGCAAAGTTCAACCAAGGTATCAGCGTATTATAAATTCACATATGATAATTTAAAAATACCGTACTAACATATAATTATAACTTTGAATCGACATATAATTTCATTAATTGTTAAAATTAATAAATATCCTAATGTAGCACCTATAAAGTACCTTGATTCATGTATCTTACTCAATTAAAAAAAATTCCATTCAAGGCTAAACTTAAATGAAATAGCCCTCCGTTGTAAAATTGGGGAGGAAAAAAGACCTGTGGATTGAAACCATGTCTTTATGTCTCCATTGTTATCATCATTATTATCATCTGAATCCAAACTACTCGCTTGTTATCGTTCACGTTTTATCTTTCTTCGTTTGTACCCAACGTAAACTACAAAAAAATTAACTAACTTCAATCTTTGAATTTTTTCGTACAACATTATTTATATACATGTGTGAAAATATCTCGTTCTATAGTCAACAACATCATTAGTAACTAACTAATTGATCTCATTAATCCTCGGGCAAAATAATAATGCGTACACAAACACCATATTGTCTGTACCTAATGGTAAATTTTTCATAATATATAATATATAAAAAAAATATGTACCCAACTGTATACATTTTATGATTTTTTACTCGTAATTTTATAATTTTATACAACTGAAAAGAGGATGAAGTCTACTTAATTTCTGTAATGTCTATTACAATACACGCGTAAATTAATTATCATTCATTTTTTTGTTGGGAAATTCACTTATTGGGTTTTGTATATTATTATGCAATTGTTATTCACGAATTATTAATTTTTTTTAAATATGTTAATTAATTTCATTTAGTATCGGAGGTAAAAGGTATGCCAACACATATTTGTAACTTCATTGTATATCTTTTAAAATATATTAATTATATACGATATTATACTGTAGTATAATATATAAAAATATTAATAATTAGGTATAATTTACATTGTATCTAAAAATACTCAGAACCATTTAGTATTTTTTTTATTTTTTTTTTTTTTTTTGTAACTTTAGTAACGTTTATCATATTGAAAAAATATTTTACGGAAAATGTTCATTACTTATTTAATACCTATGTGATATATAATCAAGACAAATTAAAATAGTTTAAAATAGATAGTGCTACTGGAACCAATAATAATAATTTTACATTAAGATCATTCATTTTTCGTTCACTATCAAGTATCATTGACATTCATGAAGGTCAGCTATAAAGTTATGGTTTGGTAATGTTGTTGATAATTACCTACACAACATGATAATTCAGTTGAACCACGACTTATAAACGGACACAACGTTTTAAAAATATTTCTAACGAATAATTTTATTTCACATTTTTTTTTTTTTTTTTTATCTAGAAAAATGGTAGTTACAAAAAAATTCATTTTAGAAAAATCGTTTAACGGTGCTCCGAGAGATGACAATTTCAAATTAATAGAAGAACAGCTTGACGAATTAAAAAATGGAGGTATTTACGATTCGTTTTTTAATAATACCTTAATAATTAAGACTTAATTGACAGAAAATTATATTATCTGTCAATTTTTATCCATATAAATGTACAAAAAATTACATTATAATCGATTTACTTTTATTTTTATTTTTAGAAATCTTAGTTGAAGCAATCTGGCTTAGTGTTGATCCATACATAAGGTAAGATTATAAATATAAAATTCTAAACATTATTTCTTATGTACGAAACCATTTTTACATTTTTTCAGACCTTACTCGAACCATGTATCACCTGGAACAACTGTTATGGGTACACAGATTGCCAAGTAAGTGTTAAAAAATGTTATATCAAATTGCTCAGAATTAGAGCTATAGGTGTACGCGAGCTCCAGCCTCAGAGACAGTATGAAATTAATCCGACCAGTTTTCCAGTTTTATTTAAAATTCGGCGCATAACCTCATATGGATATTGTTTATTTCAATTGTTAATTATTTAAATTAAAACTGTAGGGATTAATTGTTATTTGGAATTAGTAATATCGAACTCGACTCTATTAAGATTTAACGGTGAACAATAAATAAGTTAGGTGTAAACGTATTACAATTCAAAGTTGACCCAAGACAAGAATACACTTTTATTCTCTTCATTTCAATAATTATTCACTGTTGTTACACGTTGTTGGGCACGTGCCATAGGTGTAATAAATACTATGCCGTTAGTAGTTCGTATGCTGTATAATACTATGATTATAATGAGCGCCTATAAAACCTTGACGTATTTATTTTGAGATTGCGAATGCCCGTCGACAACAGAAATCAATTAATTTTTATGTCCATCGTTGATAATTACAATCTCCAATTATAAACAATATTTCATGATAAATTGACAAGATGTTCGTGTATGATTATTATAATAATGGTAAAATTATTAAAAAAAAAAAAATGTTATTTAATGATATTACTATTAATGATAACCGAGAATAAAATTTAAATACTATTGTTTTATTTGATAAATATAATTTTTGAAAATATAACTTAACGGGGCTAATATGCGGGTAGGGTTCAGTGATTCAGCGTTTTGCGACCTCTACAGCAAAAAAAAATTGTTTAGGGAAACTATGCTGTACGCTAGCACCTGGGTGTGTACATCTACGATATGGGTCTTAAACGGTTTATTTTGTTTCAAGTTGAATACAAAAAATTTTTGTACGTCGGCATTATTTCATGATTAAATTAGAATATAATTAATGTGCGTATTATTCCGATAAGACAATATGCAACATCACATAACACAAACAGTACCGTACTACTTTTGATAGCAAAAGACTTATCTCGATCTGAAATATAATTGCATTTTTAAATAATACACATTATAAACAACTAGTTCTAAAAGTATATATACCAAAAATAATGCAATCAAGTTGGTATATAAATAAATAAATAGTTTATACATAGAAATAAATGAATCAATAAATAAATATATGCTCCGGACTAAGCATTTATTTATTTATTTCTGTACATAAACTATTTGTTTATACATTAATTTATGAGTATTTACTAGTTTTTAATAATAATTTTATTCAATTTTTCTATTATTTTTGTTATTTAGTTGGATTATCCTATTGAAAACTATCCAATTTCTTAAACTAAAAACGGTATATTACATTATAAATATAATTTTAATTTCTTCATTTTACTAATAAAAAAAAACACATTCCCTCTACACTAACGTATAAACGATACACGTATTAAAATATTATTTTTATAACTTCTTCGTATTTATAAATACACAATTTAGTGATACAATTAGTTTTAAAATTATAAATTTACTCATCATTAACTAACATAAAATACTTTTAATTCTTAAATCTGAACTTAAAATGTAATTCATGTTCTAAACGTTTAGTATGCATTTAGCTACATTTTTCATTAGCATTTGTCTAATAAAAAATAATAATTATTTTATGTTTAAATATTATAATAAAGCACTTAAAAAAAAAAAAAAAAACTTTACGCGAATTGTGTAGTGTATTTTATATCTGATTTTGATGAACGCAAGCTATGTAAAAATTTAATCTATCAACCTACTTAACCTAATTATAATTTATGATACCTCGTCAACGATAATTCTAAAAGTTACAATTCTAATATTAATTAAATTATTAATAAAATTGATGCTGTATTATAGAAATTTAAGACGAAAATAATTTAAATTAATAATATCTTAATAATAATTTAGTTAAATTTGAAAGTTTCGAACAATTTTAATAGTATTTAAAACATAAGTTTAAAATTGTAAAGTACAGAAATAGTATAAAGTTTATAAACACTAATTATAAATAAAAATAAAAAAATTAGTTAATAACTTGCTATGTAAAGCATTAATATTACTTTATAAACTAAACAATCAGTTTTTTTAAGTTTAAATTGTCTTTAACAAAATGTTTTATAACTTGTTATACTTGTTTATAACTTGTATAATGTTTTTAACTTGCAAAGCATTATTATAATTTAGATATGTATCTCAATTACTTACTAGATATTCTAAAATAATATAAATTGTTTACCTCTCTATCTTATTCGGTTTATAATAGTTAATACTAAAATTTAAAGATATTAATAATTCAATTTCAGTTTCAACCAAAACATTGAATTCATTATTTACAGAATATTTATCAGCGTATAATGATAGACAAATTGGTTTAATTGTATAATCAACCGAAGTTAAGGTTGGGATAGAAGATAATGATAATCTAGAATTAAATAAGCAATGTATACTCCTTGACTCTTCACATTACTTACATAGCTTAATATTAAAATTAACAATACAATTAAAGAGTAATTTATAATCTACTGTTACTTGGTAATTATTTATTACAATTAAAATTCAAAATAATATCTATGGTAATTTTAAATCAAAATAAAAAATTTTAAAAGATTTCCATTTAAAAATCGGAAATTAATAATATATGTTTTAATACATATGGAAATTGGATAAAACTACAACACTTAACTATACAGATTAGTATGTTGTTCATATATGAAGTAAAGGATGGATTAGCGTATCGTGTAATCGGAAATGTCATAATAAGCCTTGTTTTGGACCACTTCATTTATATTAAGATAATTATTAACACATCAGTATCAAAAAACAATTATAAATTACTATGGGCCTGTATTTATGTATAATTCCTGGTCCGATTCCCAGATGAGAATTTCAAAAATAATTCTAATTATTTCCATAAATCTGTTCACATGACGTATCAACACCTTTTATAGGTTTAACTTGTGTAAAATATTAGTATGTAACATTTTCAAAACAAGTAACTGCATTTTAGTATAGTATAATATATTTACTGCCGAAGCAAATACAAATTTTACTACAATATTTAAAATAAAAATTTATATGTATTTTAATCATATTATATTTTTAACCAAATAAAGATTTATCAGTTAATCTTTATCTTGATTTAAATCGTAATTTAATTAAAATGGTTATAAACCTACTACTCTAATATACTAAGCTGGAATATTTATCAACATTAATTTATTATTATTTGGTTAATTATATGACATATTATGTTATAAATAACTTCTATTTATAAAAAGACATTTATTACATATTCTTTGTTTTTTAATTTTCTTTTAGAATCATCAAATCGAACAATAAAGATTATAAAGAGGGTCAAAAAGTGTTCTGTTCTACTGGTTGGAGGACACATAGTATTATCAATCCAAGTACTTTAGGAAAAGACAAAATGCCTAGTTTTTATGTTCTCCCAGATTTCGGAAACTTATCATGTTCACTTGGTCTTGGAGTACTTGGAATGCCAGGGTAATTTTACTTGTATCTAATTATGGTTAGAATCATATGACACAAACAAGAATTATATCTGATTATACAAGTACAGATATATAATATATTTTATTATTTTTATCTTTTACACGATTTGTTAAGTAAAACCACGTACAAACAGATAAACTACAAATATTATTGGGAAGTGTTTTTAGATAAAAATAAAAACTATATTGATATTGAAAACTTGAAAATAATTTTTTATATTTAGTATATCAATATATGTATTCATAAAATAGTTGCAGTAACTTTCTACAGTTAATATTATACTCGTACATGTTTGGTTGCGAAAAATTGATCAAGAGCAAACCAACTTATACGTTGCCATGTTAATACTCTGTTGCATATGTTTAATTCTAATACATAGAGCATTCTAATGCATCATATTGAATGTATTAATTTACCATTTTAATAATTTAATTTAATTTTTTAATACTTGTTTACGAATCAAATAAAATGTACATTTATACGATTCCATTAAAATTTATTTCCAAATTGATTTGTATTTCCAATAAAATTATTACAAAGAAACATAATGATAAATAATAGAACATTTTGGAATATAATTTTTATTTTATTTCATTATGTACTCATTAAAATAAGAAAAAATGTACTTATTTTTCTGAAATATCCGTATTATACATGATCAGTAAAAGAGGTTTTGGGGTATTTTTATAGAAATACTGCTTTATTTGGATTTTTAAATATATGCAATCCAAAACCAGGCGAGACTGTGGTTATTAGTGCTGCAGCAGGAGCTGTGGGCAGTCACGTGGGACAAATTGCAAAGAGTTTAGGATGTTATGTAATTGGTTTTGCGGGATCGGACCATAAGGTGGAATGGCTAAAGGAAGTTCTTAAATTTGACGCAGCGTTCAATTACAAAACGAAAGACGTCACAGCTGCTCTTCTCGAGGCCGCGCCACATGGAGTGGACTGTTACTTCGATAATGTAAGTATTTTAATAGTTACCTTCATGGGCGTAACTTGGAAATTTATTAGAGGGGGGAAAATATATAATTGCATATCTAACGAAAAGGGTGTCCGCAGCTAAACGCCGCTTCACTACCTACATATTATTATATAAAATTATTCATTTTCTGACAATATGAGACAATATTAGATAAGCAAATATTGAAAATTAAGATTTAATAAAAAAAGTATAGTAATAGCTATAACCAGCTGTTTTGTACTTAATTAAAACAAGGTAAGTAATATATCAGAGAGGGCACTGTCCATCCTAATTATTTTAGGGGGCAATGGCCCCTTGCCCTCCCAGTTTAAGCCTATGGGTACCTTGACAAACGTAATCATGTATAGGTTTAATTATTGAGTATGATAGCATACGTTTCTCGTAACCATAGTCATTTGTATAAAATATTGTAAAATTAACATAAAATAAACAGGAAACTTAATTAGTCATTATTTATTAAGTACAACACATGCGTGTTTATCATGCTATACTTGAAATAAGTATATTCATGTAAAATCAAATGAAATTATTATTATAATCTATAAAGTCACAAGTCAACAACAGTGTGTTATTATTATAGATAGATATATAATATATATATTATATTATGTGTATAGTAAAAATATTATTGAGTACCTTAGAATTTCTAATGAACTTTAAGATTTGATTATTATTGCCTGTTGGTTATCTTAGAACACAATCAATTAGTTCAATGTAATGATATTTCAAACTAACATATATTTTTGACTTTATAATGCATTTGCTATGTATTTATATATCAAAAAAATTAAAATTAATAATTGATTTTAATTTAGTAGAAACTTGATTTTTATTCTGAATTCTCATTCATAATTTCTATTTAGCATAAAAAATATAGATAAATAATATACAATTTTGTTAAAAATACTTTTCAAAAGTATTTCAAATAGGTATTTAAATACTTAAATAAAATGTATTAAAATATTTATTTAAATACCTATGCTAATAATTATTTAAATACAAGTACAAATATATTCAAAACATATTTCAAATACTTTTAAATACATTTTTTTAAGCATTATTGTTGTCAGATTCTTAATTCTTAACACATTACGAAAAAATTACATTACTTTCTAGTGAGTAGTGACTAAATTAATTTTAACGATTATTAATGAATAACGAGTGTCGGAGTATGTGAGATACTGTGATGTCGTCGTAATAGGATACTATAAAATAAAATAGCCAAATAGATTTACAATACAAGAAAGTATTATTTTACCCATAATATCTTTAAATATTATTTGTTTATAACAAAATTTATTTATCGTCACTTCGTCTCGTTGAGGATAAGTAATTTCTTCAAAATCGAAAACTGAAACTAAAAATTTTGTTCGAAAATTTTGTATTTAATATTTTTAAATAAAAAATATATTAATAAGTATTTGAAATACTTCTGCCCAAAAATATTTCAAATGTATTTAAAACACAGAATAAGTATTTAAATACTAATATTTAAATATCTAACAACTATGATAATATGTATAAGACTTATGTATCCAATACCAATTTCCAATATAAAGTATACGTATTCTATACCCGTATTGTCTGTTGCATATAGGTTACATTAGCTTTAATGGAATTATGATACTTATGAAATTCAATATAAACAAAAAATAGGAAATGACAATTATTATGTTAAATAAATTTTAAATTTAAATTTTAACTAGACACAATCATTAATCAATATACACATACTTTTAAATGTATTAAATATTCAACACATGGGATTATATACCTATATGTATTGTAAAAAAAATAAAAAATAAATATATAAAATATATGCGTGTAGTATATAGGTAGTTACTTAAAATCTAAAGTTATATTTAAATTATTCATCAAAAAAATTTAAAATACTGTAAATTAGTAACTTAAAAACATAAATGAGCATACGAGTCCAGAACTTGCAACCAAAGCTGTATCTGTTCTTACTGAGACACTGAATTTTTTTTAAAGACATATATAAATAATTTTAAGTTTATCGATTGATGACAATTTTTTTTTTGTTTTTTTGCGTGTTTGTAATATGATTACAAGGCTAATCGATTATATATTAACCTTGACGCAATTTTACAATTAAAATTGTTGGTGCTAACAAATATACAATGTATTTATTGGAAAAAAATTTGCTGAAAGTGTTTCTGAGTGCTACAGCTGATTGAAAACTCTGCGCATACTTATGCTTAGAACATTTTATTTATTTTGTTTGATTATTTTTGATTTGTTAAAGGTTGGAGGCGAGTTCAGCAGTTCAGTAATCTATAGAATGAAAAATTTTGGACGAGTATCTGTTTGTGGTTCAATTTCATCATACAATGCTAATCCAAAAGATTTACCAAAAGGTAAACTTGAAATCGTAAAGCTTGGTTATAATTATTTTTTTTATTTATACTTAAATTTATATATTTGATCTCTCTCTCTCCCTCTCTATATATTTTAATACACCTCATAGTATGGAACACTATTTTAAACACTTTAGTTTTAAGTTTTCTATGAAGAATTATACTTAATACATTTGCTTTGATTCAATTTTTTTTTATAATTCTTGAAAATAAATTATCTGTTATAAAGACATAAACAAAAAAAAATTATATTAATCATAAATAAAAATAATCTAAATAAGTAAAAATTTACTTAACTGATTATATAGGTGAATTATTTTGTAAACTACTATCAAACATTATAGTATAATAGCTTACTGTATCACTTTTATAATGTATATAAGATTATTGTATAGTTAAAGCTCTTTTTAAAATTATTTCAGTATTCTTAAATGCATTTCTGTATATGAGCAAATACTAATAAAATGCTTAATAGTATAATAGTACTTTTCTTAAAAGCATATAAGTAGTACTCAAAATACATTTTGAAGAATTTTGTACAACACTGTATATATATTTTATACGAATGATCCTTTATTTTCAGTACCAATGTTGCAACCAGCAATCGTATTTAAACAGCTAAAAATTGAAGGTTTCATTGTTAGTAGATGGAGTGATGTATGGCAAAATGGTATTGAACGTAATCTAAATCTCATAAAAGAAGTAAGTGCATTGTTATTAATCTTGTCACTATGATAGAAAATATATAGTTATGGTTAAATGGTTTTTTTTTTTTTTTTAGGGCAAACTTATTTACCCTGAACACATTACTCAAGGATTTGAAAATTTACCACAAGCATTTATGGGTATGTTAAATGGAGAGAACATTGGAAAAGTTTTAGTAAAAGTTTAAACAATGCTGGTATAATGTTAACATTTCCGATTAAGTAACCAATCATACCTAATACTATTTTTTATTTTATATAAATTATATTGTGTATTTTTGTATTACTTTTAGATCTGAGAATATTTTAATTATGTTAAAAACTCCTTTTGTTTATAATTTTTATAAATTTATTACTTAAATACAATTCTTTAATATCATTAATCATCTCATGTAGTATATTATTTTTATGAACATTTTAATGCACTCGTATATTATGTAATAGTATTACAGTTTTACCTTTAAAAATTTAAATAAATTTCACCATCATAAACTAAAGATCAGGGGTGTCATTTGGAGGGAGGCAGACTATGTCAAATGCCCCACTCTAAGAAATTTTAGAAAGTCGGCAATTCTTTGTCCGATGATCAAATGCTAAAATCGGTAAATCGTAAATTTTTATTTACTATTTTGTATTCAGAAATCAGATAATATTCTCTTTAAAATACACATTCATGGTTTATTAAAAGTTGGGAAATGGCAGCGTGGCTCTTCCCCAGTTTATTACAGTCATTATTAAGTGAACGTTATAAATTTTATTTTTGGTATATTATATATTTCTATATATGAGATAGTTTTTAAAACAGTTTTCGTGATATCGATACCATAAAAATTGAACTCATACAGACGTGTACTGGCCCATCGGAATGACGGGAAAATTCCAATAGGCCTTCTTAAAAATTATAAGACCTGGGCCCCTTACTAAATAGGTACCTGTAGCTTAAATTAAATTCATTTTAAAAGATTTTCATAAGCCATAATATATCTTTCTTTTGATTTTTCAGGCAATAGATTTAGTGAAACAGCATTTGCCGTTTTAACCATGTATAGGGAAGTTAATGGTTCACTACAACTACTGTACTGATTGTCATCTTTCGTATTTATGCTTGTTTGCGCGCTTCGCAGTCAAACCATCTCACTGGTTCGATTGTGTGACGTGCTCGCGTCGTTTGCAATAAAAAATAACACTTAACAAGGATAATTAATGAAATTATAACAAATGCCGGGATAAACGGGCCAAAAGCGCCACAGTAATATTAACAAAAAAAGTAATAATACGATAAATCTAAAAACAACAATAAAATCACATACGCTCCAAACGCGTTGTAATAATATAACGAGACAAATCGTATAAAAATAAATATAATATTTTTAACAAATATAATGGAAGATACCTTGGACGGTGTGGCGTTCGAGTGGTTATGCCCACGCGACCGTGTTCACACGTGCGACGAACGCCACAACCGGCAGAAGAATCGGTTGATCAGCGGCGTCGGTCTCGATTTACAATAACCGGCTTCTCTGCGCACGACGATAACCGAGAGAAAATTTCGCGGACACGGGTCAGCTACCGTTCGAACAGTCACACACACAAAGTTGTCCCCAGAGATGGCGACTCCACCGTGCTATGCTGCGACCACAAAAACGCACGGCCGGTGGCACGGGAAAAACGACGAGACGGACGTTCGCAGAAAAAGTTTCGGCGGAAAAAAGTCCCGTAGCAATGGCGTCCACGGACTGGTGATAATCGTATCGCGATAACGCGCCTAACGTAAATCCTCGAACGTCACACGCCGACACCGTTATCGGGTGCTCCGGTTAACACGAAATAAGATAATTTAAACGGCGACGTGACACTTGCGTGAACGATCTCATTTTCTAATTCGAATTGTTATATAAATCGCGCAAAACAAATGTATCTGTAACGTCCAACGCACTTGTGTGGGAACAGTGAAAACGAAATATGTTTAAATGTTTATGCGTCGTGCAAGGAGGTTGTGATATGAGTATAAGATTTAACCGAAAGCTTATGTTTTGTACAGACCGTGGTAAACATTTAAGTTTCTGGTTGTGCTGGGCCAGCGCTCTTGGAAATTTCCACTTCCCCCCCACGCACTTTTTGGGATTTCTACTTTACCGGCCGCCACTATGGCATTCCCATCTTACCGCACGCTGGACAGATAAATGTGACATTCCAACGCTTCGACCGTGGTCGAAAACCAAACTTTCGGTACTGGTGTGATAAAAATGTTATACCTGGAGAGTCGTGTTTTAATTTCAATCACCGATTACCTTTGTGTTTATCATTTCGATTTCTTTATCGTATAGCACTTACGAGTGTAACGAGAACTTTGAATGGCTGATGAAATTATCTTTTGGGATGAAAGTAATTCAACAGAGGACGATCCTATAAGTAAGGGAGCAGGTTTTGGAATTTTTCAAGAATTTTGTGGAAGATTGAATGCTCTGCTAACGTTTTCAAAACCTATAATAATACACAAAAACAGTAAGGAAATTATATATATATATATATATATATATATATTGAAATAATAGTCTTGAAAGATTCTTCTGATTTCGTCAAACATTTCCGTTCTTTCTTAAAATAACAATTATGTACCGTCACCATAATAACATACCTTCACGAAAACAAATAAATTAATCTTGTGTCATCGTTATTGATATACCTAAGTTTTTTTTGAGTATTATAATTTTTATTAAAAGTTAGACTTTTAAGTTTATTATTAGTGCTTTTTCATATGCAAAAATTTACATTCCAATGGTCGTTAACATTTAACACAAAGGATTTTAATTTATTTTTATTTGAAACCAAATATAATTAGTATTTGGACATTTCATGAAATATAAGATTATAAAATATTTCAGTATTTTAAAAAAAATTGTTATTATAAATGTGAATCATAAATAACGGGCCTTATCAAGTGCAGATAATAACTACCTACCCAATAAATTCCTTGGATAAAAATATTGATGATCAACATTATCCAAAAATCGATGTACTGAATTGATAATTTTTTCACGCTATAGTAAATGAAAGTATTACTGTACTTCAAGTTCTTAAGATTCTTATTAAATTTAATAGTTCATTTATTAAAATAAACATTGCATTAAGAATCATTTTGACTACTAACCTGTGGCTTACATAGGTGCAGAAGGAACTTTTTCAAAATTGAAAATTATCAAAAACTTTCTGCGCAGTATAATATCTCAAGAAAGACTTTTTGAATAAGCGACGCCCTGACTATAAGGTGGAATAGCTGAAGGAATTTCTTAAATTTCAAGCAGCGATCAATTACAAAACGAAAGACGTTACGGCTACTCTTCTCGAGCCAAACAGACTAATAACTTATAATTCATTACCAATATACAATTCCGTGAGCGCAATTAATTATAAAGTTAGGCAGACCTATTTATGTTTAACATTTTGTTTAAATTAAAACATAGAGACCCTGTTGTTAGCTTGTTATTATTTGTTAATTTAATTTTCATGTAATGTGTACATGTTCTAAGAAAGTACTCTTTCATATAAAAATAAGTATTCGCACCAGACCTCGCAAATCCTTGAGTCGGCACTGTACATTACATTATAGTTATATCATCGTTAACTATATGATGTTATACACTGAATAAAGTTTTAAATAGGATATGTTTACACAGCGGCACTCTGATGAGCGGTGAGTGATACAATACGTCTCGACGCATGGTGGTTCCAAGCGCAATACAAAGCAGTATTACAGATTTGTCATTATAGGTACAATAATTTACATTTATCTGTCACTTCCATGTATGGTGATAATGCGTCTTCTGTATGTGTGACGAATAAAAACTTGAAACGAATAAACGTTTGATTTATATCTTCGAACGCCTGGTACCCTACTAGGTGATGCCTACTGCCTATTGGAATACCATGTTGAACGCATTACCCATAGGCAAGGTTTATGCGAACGATAATATTATTGTTTTTCGTTTTGAAAGTTTATGTACAATCCATTAGCCACAATAACCTGCGATGAATTCTTTTCAAGGGTGGAAACCACTGATATCGATGTACCCATATTTTGATCCATTATTTGTCATCGAACAAAATAAATAGTACTGCTTCGAATACCGCACTGAGAAATCGATAAAAATCAATGTTTTAACGGAATAATGTTGGCATTATAATGCGTATTATCTCCAGGCTATGCGTCCATTCAACGTGTATACTTCCGACATGACTGCGTTGTCAACGATTAAGTGGCGTCACAATGTCGGGACTGCGGCGGCCATACTTTATGCACTGCACACAGTGTGATGGACAACATGATGGATAATGGATACCAGTGGCGCGAGACCGGGGTGTCGAAAGAAGAGTATTCTTTGAAATGAAAATTACTATTACTATTGATAATTGCTTTTGAAATGAAAAAGCACTTATCAAGGGCCGATTATGCATACATTTACGGGTGTATTGTAAACGATGTAATGATAGTAGTGTCTTGTAAAGCAGTGCGGGTAGGACGATGCCCGAGATGGTGAACGTTGCAAGATGCTTGGAAATGACGGATACCTGAACTTACTCGAACACATTTCGAATTCATCGTTATTGAATATTGATGCACGCGCTAACCGTGTGTATGATTTAATTTTTACTTATAAATTAATATTTCGGTGAAAATAGTATTCATCGTTAATTTTTAAATGAGACCAAATTTTTGTATACCTTTGCGAACACTCGAAATAGGTACGTACGGTAGGTAACTAACTGCGTAAATATAAATTTTTTTGAATTTATTCGCTGTACTTAATTTTGACAGTTTTTTACATGTTTATATACATATAAGTATGTGATGTACAGCTATATAATAATAATTATGTGTTCGAATTCTGTTTACCTTAAGCATTTATTTTTTTACATGTTTTTACACACACTAATTTGGTTATAAATAAACATGTCCATAAAAACATACGCATATATATGTGTGTTTGTTAAGGCACGTACATTTTTTATTGTACCTGTATGTCACATTGTTTTTTGTTGAATGTTTTTAGTGGGGTATGCTTTACCGTACGTATTATAATGGTTGATATTCATACACCATGAATGCTAACTAAATATAATTACAACCATACGCGTGTAATGTATATTATTTTAAACACAACGATAAAGTAACGATTAAAATCTAGTTGAATTTGATCGTTTATAATACCTATTGTGTAACTAAAACAGGTAGTACTCATAATTTTCTAAAATTGCAAGGTTGAATGTAAAATATTTTGCCAATTATTTTTATTTCTATTTTACTGAACAATTTTATGGGATAAAGTAATGAATTGATGAGTTTTTACATCTTAAATGACATTAAAATTGAATAACAACGAATAACCTCGAAGACAGTATCACTAAAAAATCTAGAACATAATAAAGTTACCTATTTTATAGTTATTTTAAAATGTAAATGTACATATAAAAGACAGAAACAATTTTTCTAAAACTGGCTAAATATTTGCCGTTACGCTGGTAGTATTAACTTCCAGTTGACACAATGTTGTTGTTTTAGTATGATACTACATATTACATTATATTTACAGATGAATCACTCATCTCTTCCATTGCAATAAACGTTCCTACACAGCATACTCGTATTGCATTGTATTACATCGAAAATTCAATTTCACATAAATATAATATGCTGTTTGTTGCCCTTATCCCATTATTATAGCACTAAACGTCACTACTAAATATTTGCAAGTTTCAAATGCTCCACAAGTGTAAAATTATTGATGATATCTTTTCATACGGTCTAGATTGCAAAGTTAAAATCTACCGTTCGAGTTAAGTTCAAATTGCAGTCAAAATTTCTTCCGTTTTCACACTTACCATTTTTCTTTTTCTAATAAAAGTACAGACTAACGCGCTATTATGTCGATTTCCGATTGGATTGTAGACTAACAACTGTGATTTACCGCATTCGTTATGTCAGACAGTATTGCCATTGTTGCTGTAGGTCGTATATGCTATTGCATTGTTCTGTAACAATAATCAAATGAGGCTCAACGTCTCATTTATTACTCAACGTTAACCCCTTATTGATCGTATCAAAATATATCAGTGTCGGGAAAGAACGAATTATTTTTTAAAGGAACGAAGCTTGGAACACGTCCTTTTTCAAATATAGGAACGAAGAACAAGAAATAAATCCTATTTACGAGGAACTTGGACGCAAATCACTGTTCAAAATGAAAAAAAATAAAACGCGTGTTATCTTTAATAATAATATTTTCTTGAATATATTAAATATATTCTACTAAATATTAGTCTCGATAATTAAGTAGTAATAGTTTATCCTACAGACAATGGTAAACTATGTACACTTATTTTGCCTTAATTAGAACCATTAATTACTGCTAATAAGACTTTATGTCCTATTCATGTTTTTATTATGTAATATCTACGCATAAACTATGGCGTATTTATAAGCAGACAACTGCATATATAGACACGTGCCTATAGCGATAAATTTGAATAATGTATTTTGTTATTAATTTTTAATAAAAATTGTTTAAATTTTAAGAAATTGTGCTTAAGTATCTAAGCAAAATTTGTTTTATAAACTTACCTAATTAATATATTTACATACGAGTATATATAATATATATATTATAATAGATAGTTAAGTAATAACTCAAAGCAGTGTATTATTTTAGTTATTTAGACCGGTAGTCTCCCATAGGCCTACACTCGGCAAACATATAAATACGCCCTTTGCATATAAGGTACTTAATAATATTTAGTTAATATGATAGTATAAACCACGGTTGTATAACTATGGCAAAAACGATGTAAATAAACCAAATCAATGTTGTTAAAAATTGGTACTCCTTAAAAATTCCTGTTTTCTCGTCACTAATTTTTGCTGGTTTTTCCTTACGCATTTATTAACTATTGTTAATGAATAAAAATCAAAATCTAACACCTTTAAGATGCAATATGGTTCAATAGTTGACTAACAGGCCAAGTTTTAAATTAAAATGTTAGCTAATAACTTCTGGTTGAAAATTGATACACAAAAATAACACCATAGACAACAGCTTGGATCATATAAAAAATTAAAAAAAACGGAGACGCATTCCTTTTTTGCAAAAAACGAGGAACGGGAACACGTTTCTTTTTTACAACAAGGACGAGAAACGGGAACGAATTTATTTTTAAAAGGAACTGCCCTGAGATGTGTGCAAAACCAATTCCGTTCTTGCTTCAGATTATTTTAATAATAAATAATAATAATATTTATAATTTAAAATGCAAAAACGGTTTAAGCGATGCCATGTAATGAATATTTATTGGAGGTGGCTCTAACCGTCTGTGAATTGAATTGTATGGCGTATAATTGCTATTCATGTCATTAACTCGAGTATTATAAATTATTGATTAGTCCATTGGTGCACTCGACGCCTGGTATTAAAATGAGCGAAATACGAGTTGTTTAAAATACGGAATCCCGCTGAATGATTTACAACCTCCCTGACTATCAGTGCTGTGGTGGAGAAATATATTTGACTGATAAGAAGTTGAGGCACTTTAATTCTCTTGTTATTCCTTATCTACGGCTATTGATTACCGTGTTCGATGGTGAAATCGCAGCCTTTTCACAGTGCATCAGGGAGATATTGGATATCAAAGTCCTTTTGGCTATGCGACTCAATGGAGCGCAGTGGCCTTTTGTGTGATCACTTTTGATTTTAATAATTCGTCACGGTCAATTGAAAGCCTGCACGAAATGTTCGGAAGGAGCCTGAAGACGACGAAGAAGCTGCTGAACCACTCCACTTCGCTGCGCACCGTCGAGTACCAAAGGTCGCTGAGAAAAAAATTTGGTTAGTGATAAATGTTTTGTTGACTTTTGCCGTATTTTGTTGAACACGTTGCATGTTTGTTTCAATTTCGTTAATCGTTATTAGTATGACGGAGGCGAGTATGATAACACTGCAGTTTCAGTGGTTTAATACAATTAATATTACTTATTCCTTATTGGGAAAGGTATATTTTATATGTATGTGTTAAAAATTATTTGATGGGCAATATTGTTTATCCTTTAATTGAATCATGTGAGTACATTTTTTTTTAAATTTATTTTTTAAGTACCAAGAATTTAATTTTAATTATTTAGTAACATATGTGTAAAAATGAAACTATAACAATATTTGATTAATATAGATAATGTAGTTATATCGCTTGTGTAAAGTATAATTTTTTCGAGAATTTTGTAAGTTCATAATTATTTATTTATTTGTCACATATTTTTATGTACTATTGTTGTATAAAAATTATTATATACATCAAATTATTCTAATTTCTATTGATAACAAATTTCTGTTCTCTCGTCATATCAAATATATTTTTATATAGTATAAATATATTATCGATATGAAAAATAGAATACAATGTATCAATAATTATTTTTAAATTTTTCCCTAAAGATTACAGAGTTTATTTATGTTACATTAATATATATATACATTTTTAGAAACCCGAAACAATATTTTTTAAATCTTAATTCATTAATAATATTAATTTTTTAATAACTCAATCTTATATATGTTCGCTTAAATATATGCAATTAATAATATTCTATATTATATAGTATCAATTTGAAATTGAATACTTTTTTAAATTTGTTGTTAAACAATCAGTCATTAAGCAAAATTATAAAAGTATTATATTAATTTACTACTCATTTTGATATTAATAAGGTACAGTAATAATAAGTATAAAAAATTTTGTTTAAATAATTATTTAATTTACTACTAAAGATTTTGTGAAATATTTGATTTGGGTTTCCGTGTACTTTTAGCAAAATTGCTTATAATCTTGAATTCATTATTGTATTTATATTTTAATTAAACTAATATCTATTTAAATTCATAGTTGAGTATTACAAAAATAATATTGATTTATACAGAAAATGAAGAACTAATTATTAAACTATAAGTTTTTTTTAGTGTTGTCAAAAGATGGCTTCCAATTTTTAAATAAATATAAATTTAATTAATCCCTTATCAAAATAATTAAACAGCATTGTACCATTTGCAGCTAGAGTAGCAATGTTTAGCTCTGTCCAATTTTACTTCTGATGCAATTATAAATGGTTTTGATTAGGTATAGTTTTATATAATTTTAATTACACAATACATTTTTAATTCATGACTTATATTAACTTGTTCACAATGGTGTTAACCAAGTAAAAAAAAAAAAATAATAATAATATTATGATAATTTTTTTTTAATTCTTTTATATATTTAGTCTTACAATAATAAAAATAGCAAAATCTAATATGAAAATTAGTTCAGTCATGATTCCAAATGATGTTTTTAACAAACAAACAGTGAATCTTAGAATACGTCATCAGCAATAAACATGTAACAGACAAAAATGTTGCGATACTAATTAAACATGTGTTCTACTTTAACTAACAAATAGCTATCTAGGATACTAAATAACTACATGACTTGATAATTGTATGACCTTTATGACTTATGGTAAAATATTCCTAACATTTATTTATTATAATGAGATTTATCTAACTATGAATTTATTTTTTTGCTTATTTATGTTAATGCTTTTATATGTATATATATGTATATATATATAAAAGAGGCTATTAAATAAATCAAATTTTCTTTTTAAAATAAAACTATAGGTATAACATTTCATATCTAATAATAATCAATGAAAGACCCACAAACAATTTAAATGTATTCATAAGAACGTAATAATGTAAACATTATTGGATCAAGTAACCTAAAGAGTCGCATAAATTATATACCACAAATTATCTATGAAGACAAGACAATTATGAAATAATATTAGAAAAATTGAAATTAAATAACAAAAGAATTAAGTCCCTTTGGGTTTGCTAGTATAATTGGTTTTTATAAGATTCAAACAGAATTTGCCATGCATTATCAAGTATGCAATAAATCAAGTTATAGTAAATCATCACTAAAATTTCAAATGCTATTGATTTTAAAGTATTATAAAGTTATTGTTGATAATTAATAAAAATTCACATTTTTATATACATTTAAATTGTTATGTTATAAAAAAAATTATATGGATTATAAATTTATTTATGAACCATAAGAATTGTAGTTTTTTAAATAAATCATATAATTTTAAAAAACTTCAATCATGAAATAAGTATTTAAATAGTAATAATAATAATAGCACATCACATTTTAAACAAATTTAATAACTTAAACTATATAATCCACTTATATCTTAAATAATTATTATAATTAAGAAAACAAGTGTGGTTTACTAATTATAAAAAATTTGTAGTTTTATTAATTTGAATTTGAATTTCTTGTATTATCATTAAACTAAATAGTTAATAGAAAACCGAACACTTATATAATAATGGTTTATTTGAAACAAATTTGAATTTATTAATTGATAGTTGAAGTAAAAAAAAAAATTAAATTTTTTATGTATTAAATTTCAAAAAGCTTTTTTTTTTAAAACACCACCTATTTCTAAGTGGCAAATAAAATAAATGATCATAGTTTTTTTTTATATTAACGCTAAACGAAATTCATAAATATTAATTTTACAACAATTTTTTTAACTAAAAAATAATTATTAATATAGCTCATTACTTATGATTTTGTAAATAATAATAAGTGGTTGATAAGTTACCTACTTTAAAATCTTTCTATGAATCTAAAGAAACTTTAGAAATATTAAGAAAAGCTATATAACATTACCAAATAAATTACAACAGCAGTATTTTTAATAATTGTTCTATATTTTTGTATAAATAATCCATTGGTTATAGTTTTATCAATATTTCAATGACAACAGTGAAAATTGATATCACATATTTTATGTTAATCAGGCCAAACATTTTAGTATCATTATTTTGACATCTATATCTGTTATTTTTACCCACCACTCATCTTGTTTGTACGTCATTGACTGAAACTAGTATATTTGATCATATGTATGTTTTAAAATACGTACAAATATATTTGCGAAAACCCGGTCATACTTTTTTTTATTTTAATATATATTAGTCAATTATTGATTGAAAACTATGTACAAATTATTAAAGAAAACTTATATTTTTTTAATTCATTGTTGACAACATAGAAATTGTTAAATTATTTTCAGTTTAAATATTTGATAATTGTGTGTATATATATATGCTGAAATGTGGAACCATATCTCACAAAATGTGATAATAATGATAAAATAGTCAGATCATGGGCTTGCGGTTTCTAATTAGATATATTAATTAGTGGCCATATGCATGATTATCTACACATTATATAAATGTTGATTCATAAAATAATGGTCATTGTTATTGCAAGAGGCTATAAAATTATTAGTTCTATGTATAAATAATTTCTTTAAAATATATTGATGTACAATTACATTTTACA